TGGGGAAATATATGATCTGATAATATGATATAATATGATATGATAAAAATTGTAATTGTTATGCGTAAAAAAATGTTATAGCCAAAACGTTTTTTAAATCTATCTGACACAAATAATATAAAATATTGTATACAGGAAATTATGAATTCATCGTAAAAACGAGTGTGCTCGTTCTTTATATGTGTACATTATACAGTATATAAATACGAAATATATGATTTTACTTTTCGAGCACTCTGGAGAAATACTGGAGAGTCACCAACTTAAACATAAATGTACGGAATATGATTTAGGAATACATGTACATACATAGTGTACGTGTGGCAAATGCATCGCATTAAATTTTATGAAAATAAACACACTAAAAATAATATTATGTAATCAGTCAGTATTTTTCATTCGAAAAACTCATTGTTTTGCTTAACTCGAAAATCGAGTAAGCTTTCGGAATTGACTCCAGATCAAACAGAGAATAAAAGAGACAAGAAGAAAAGATCCAGTACCTACTCATTTATAATATCAATGGATTTCTAGTTTCGTTTTCGGTTTGTAAATATGCAATAATATAGAATTATATAATACATAATTATATATTATAATATTACAGTTAATAAAAATAGTCGCAATAATTATCATGAAGAAATAAACATGTGAATAAAATCTGGAAACAAGTGAGTTGGCTTGGACACGTATAGAGATCGAATGGCATATTGAAGGATGTATTTAACTGGAAACCAGAAGGCAAGAGACCATTGGGTAGACCAAAGAAAATATGGATAGACGAGCCCAATCAGAATTTCAGGATCCTTGGGGTTGATAACTCGGAAGAATTAGCAAATGATAGAGAATAATGGAGGAGGGTGTATGGAGTAATGGTGGGCCTTAATGTCCTATAAAAAAACTAAATAAGAAATAAACATAATTTCATAATTGTGAATTCGCCGGTTAGGTATGTAAACCTTTCATATGTTTGATTATCTCAAATCCGTCGAGCAAAAATAGTCTACAGAAAACGTACTTATCACCGTACATTATACATACAATTTATGATGGCATTCAACCAGTCCAGACCGATAAAATCTTTGATAACTATATAAACAACGTGTGCGTTATATGTTTGTTTTCGTACATCCTGTTTTTAATAGGACGTCTTAACAGTTTCTAACGTTATCAAAACAGGAACATATTTATTGTAAAAAAATACATTATAAACTTGCGATTTAAAAAAGTACATTATAAACTTGCGATTTTCAGCAAGATTAATAATTTATATTATAAACGTGACTGGAAAACATGTGTTCTATGCTATACCTATATTACTGTTACACGTTGCTTAACGCTCCACATACATTTTCTTCTTTACGTTTTAAACAATATATTTGAATTTCAAGTTAAATTAAAAAACAAATATACTTATACAAAGGTTCAGATATTAAAGATTTGTGATTTGTTATTAATATTATTTATTAAATTTGTTAGTATATTTGTTAATGGCACGAAAAAAAAAAAATATAATAATAATTTAAAAATTATCGATTCTAAATGTAATAATTTATGATTTATGAACTTTAAATACCCTGATTCATGTTCGAATTTGAATAATTTTAATTTATAAAATGAATGTCCCTACAGACAGGACAAATTACTAAAATCTGCAATTATAAAAAATGAAAATGTACATCTAAGAGATTAAAAATAAATACACAAAAGTATTAAGTACAAGAGCTCTGAATATTTGTATATTATTCTTATTTGAAATTCGTCTTTTTTTTTTCAATAATAACTTTATGTTATAAATTCTATAAAAAAAAAAATAAAAAAAAACCATTTACATAAATTTTTTATTAAAAGGGATCATTTGAAACATAATAAAAACTTTATTCTAGTGTTTCATTGTGCATGGTATTATACTAGTGAATAAAAGTAAATGTATTTTTTCTTTTTTTTGTTAGAAGAATAGCGATGATACACACACGAAAAGTCAGAGTGAACCATTATTTCCTTCCGAAAAAAAGTTGTATTGGTAATATATTTTAAGAAGCGCGAATTTAGAAGTTTCCTTATAACTTTAAACTTTGTTCCTCCGTCCCTTAGACGGTTCTCAGTGGTTCTGAAATTCTGACTGTGCAGTGTAACTTTTTTTGAAAAGCGGTTGGTAAGTTGTGGATTCCTGACGTGACCAAGAACGGGTAGTGTTATCGCCAGGTGGTCACAAACGCGGCCGGACCACAATAGCGGGTTATAATATGTCTTTCGTGTTGTACCGTTTTGGCGTACGGTACATTTTATTCGTTTCGTTTTATTTTTTTCCGAGTCAACGCTTTCGGCATCGCGTACACTTACTTTCTTTTTGTTACGCATCAAATTTGCGTCTCTGCTGTCTTGCGCGTTGCCCGGCGCGTGTGATCCCCACAACCGTAACGCCATTCGCATGTAGACGACCGTTATGATGACCACGGGTACCAAGTACTGGACGAACAGTAGCGTTACCCTGTAGAAAAGCATGGTCCTTTCAGGAAGTCGGACATTGTAGCAGAACGGTTTCACCAACTTTCGGCCGTCTGGAAAACGTTACAATGTAAATTTACTAACCGGGAGGGCGAGGGTAGCGCTCGCGGTGAAAAAGTCTTTTAAATTTGTAAATTTTTAACGACAACGATCACGTTGTTTACCACACGTTGGTGCATTATTATTATTATTATTATTTATCTACTGGTTAACTTTTGGCCGACTTGCACTAGGCCCACACGAATGCCGATCCCTTGATTAAATAGTATGCGCGGTTTGGAGCAGGAGACAAAAACGACCGCTCTGGGCTTTCATTAGAAATCCCTGTTTTTACCATTCCGATAGAATTCGGTCGAAATAATGGTTAGTTTCAATAGAGCCCGTACACACAAGACAATTCGTCTATATTCACTATATTCAACCCACGTGGTTAATATAGATAAAATAAATGCCAGTTTGATATTAATTTATCTGCCAATTAACAAACACAAGATATAACTTAATGTGAATTAAGCATGTGACTTAACCGGAGAAATATTAATACAAAGAAACCGTTTCGCTAACAATAATCGTAAAGAAATTAAACATTTTTTCTGTGTACTTGGAGAGATATTTTCCTGTCAAATTGGTGATCTGAGAACACAACTGTTTCGTTATAACTGATAAAAAGTTTTGTTTAGCTCAATATAATAATTGACGTATATGAAAAAAATGAAACCTTGCCTAACCTAGTGAACTATTCGGTAAAGTAACGATTATTTTTTTTCGGATCAAATTTGTTTACAAAATCTGAAATTTTAATTCTTCGTTATTTCAAATACACTGCAAATTATAAGCCCAAAGAATCATGAACGTTGTCCTCCGATATTTAGTTGGTTTCAAAAACTATTTGAAAAAGTTTAAATAAAATCATCAGATTTATTATTTGTGATCCCGTGTGGGGTTAAATAAAGTTAAATCATAACGTTGTACTCTATGGTATATTGTGTGCCCACTAAACGTTTATTATTTTACGTGGTCGAATGTAAACATCGGAAATGTTTGCGATACGAGATGATGTGAATAATATAGTAATGTAGCGAACCACTGTTCATTTACTCGTGCTCTCTAGTACCATAAAGTCATCCCTTTTCTGTTCCAAGTGCAAAACTTGAAGAGGGAAATATTACATAGTCATAACATCCATAATTATAGCAATAATAATTATCATGACGGAATGCACGGATGCAGTGTGCTCGGCAACACATTTGCTCGTTGTAATAATAATAATAATAATAATAATAATATTTATAATAGAAGATGTTACTTCACGCATTAGTCTTGTTACTACTTTTCGTGTTCAAGCAATAATTATTTCGTAGTTTAAAACTATTTCTCATCGAGAACAATATCTCAACATCGAAATAGAATTCATAACGATTTTCTAATAAATTAATTTTAAAACTAAATTAAAGTATATTGTTGTTTTGAAAAAAAGGGCTGTTATACTTTAGGAGAGTGGTTCTCAAACTTTTTTGCTCGTGGAGCCTTTATCTTCCTAAAAAAATTTACCGAGCCTCGTAAATTAAGAATTTAAGTCAATAACAATTATCAATATTTTATGTTGAGAAAAATGTACAGTCCAAAGTTAAATTTTTTTTTTGAGAAGCTCGAATTTTGTCATTTGCTGTGAAAACTGTGGTCATTTTACGTTATATTGATAAATTTACTTAACTTAATTTTGTGAAAATATTAGCCAAGTAGTGAAGTCGGAATAAGTAAATTTTAATAGAAGTCTGAGCTGTAAGTTAAATGGGTGTCACAAAAACGTACAATTCATTGCGCAATTCAAGTAATCATACTGGTGTTTTTCCACGATAGTTAAGAAATATAATAATATTTTAATTTAATTAATTCAGATTTGCTTACGGAGTCCTTAGACTTCTTTCGTGGAGCTCTAGGGCTCCGCTAAGTAGAGTTTGAAAATCAATGCTATAAGAAATACCTCTAACTGTTATGGTAAACTATTTTTATATTCATATTAATTTATTGTATTTTAGGTAAAATTTCACTTTCAGCATTCCGTGTGATAGTATAATTCAAAACCATTTTTGAAAATTAAAGTTAGAACAATGAATGAAATAAATACGAGTATGATAAAAATATATATGTATATTGCATTATCTTTTAAAACAGTATATATTCATATAAAATGTGTTAATTAAAATTTAGAGGAAATTTTTTTTTTTTAATTTTAATTATTACAATAACTATTGCTAAATATAAAAGAATGTTGTTAGTTATGAATTCAATTAGTAAGCCCGTTATTATATCAATTGATAATTTTGTTATTTATAACAGCTGAAAATGTTGATTTATATCGTATTTTAACCTTCAATATTTTTTTAACTTAATGTGATATAGACGTGTATAGGGTCATTGTAACTAATAGTAATAAAATAAATATTTTAATGGTATAACATCAATAATCGTTCGCAGAAAATAATTCGTTCGCACGCAAATCGTTCTTATACGACAATCGTTCACGCACACATTGTTCGGTATAAAATATTTTTAGCGCATCAAAAACAACCAATTGTTAAGAATGTTAATACATTTATAGGTACGTTTCGTTTAAGTATTTACATGGTTTTTTATTAATTTTTTTTTTCATGTTTATAATTGAAAATTGTATGCTCGTAGAAACTCAATCGTTGCTCGATCAGTGCTATCTGAACATATTTATTACACGTTTTTTTTTCACGACCATGGTTTTTAACCAGTTGACGTATATAATATTTTATTTCATCCGAAGTGTTCGAACAAATATCCACGTTGTCGGATGTTTGGACGAAATATGTGCAGACGGAGAAGCGTTCTACATGACCCCTTGTTCCCGCCAAAATCAAATGCATTCGACCGGCCAATAAACCAATGCGGTACATGAAAAAGTCACGTTCGGAATCGCGGGGAAAATATTTCCGTACGCGAACACTTAGCGCGATCGAACAATTTTGGAGCGAACCATTTTCCACGAATACCAGACAACGTCCCTTTAAACCAAGTCAAACGTATTCGGTTTATTTCTCTCAGGGGGGGGGGGAATAAAAAAAGAAATATAATTGCAACGTTCGCCGACTGTTGGTCACACTTGAACGTGTCCAACACGTCGCAGTGTCCGGGGGTGCTTTTCGATGCTAGCAAGGGCTTATCGGTGGCTAGTAAAAACCGTGTCACTGACCTCCGTCCCCGTACTCGATCAACTGTACCCTGAGGGCGACGGCCATCGGCGTGGCGAGCGCGAATGCTATTGCCCATATGGCGGCTATTGACATTTTCGCACGGAACTTCGACGGTGTTGCACTGTAACGGAAAACATGCAAACGTATGAGCAACATAATACGAGTACAAAAATGAAAACAAAAAAATAAAAAAAATATTCAAAAAGTAATCAAAGGGACCGTCTGCGGGTTGTCGGGACGGCGTCGTCAAATGGTTCGCGATCGCGAGGACGTGACCAACCTGAGCGGACTGAGGATGGCCCGGTGACGATCGATCGCGATCGCGGTCAGGGTGAATATGCTCACGTTGACCGAGAGCACCTGCACGAACGGGCAGAACGGGCACATCACCGCGGGCAGGTTCCACCGTTGCAACAGAGCCGCTTGAAACTGAAACAACAACAACGACGTGTCCATAACATTCAGTGGCGTAAATAGGTTTTTATTTTAGAGGGGAGGGGCAATTATGTATTTAATTTTTGGGGGGAAGGGAAGGCACACTGTTACGGCATAAATTACTATAAGACTTCTCAACTGTCTTTACACCATCAGAGGAAACAAGAAACTCAATTTTTTTAATGATTTGTAAATTTAAAAAAATATAAAAACTACATTGTAATAAACAATTTATTTTATTAGAGTCACTCAAATTGACCACATAATTTCTTATAAAAACAAACATATATTATGAATTCTAAATTTTAAATTATCGCACAAGCAACATTCTCAGTACTACGACCAATTTTCGGAACAGCCCTCCGCAATAAGATATATCCGTGTCTAAAAAAACAGTTTTTAACAATGGTGTTTTTTTATTTCGAGGGGGGGGGCTCCCTCGTTTCTCTCCCCATAAATATGCCACTGATTATGTTACAAGACCGTTCGTGCGTGGCCGCGACTCGTCATTCACGTTTGCCGCTCGTCGCGTCGTAATTGTTGCCACGGGCGTACAACGGTTGGGACGTGTTCGGGTCTCCTGATAGCTTCCCGGAGTTTTAGCAGCCCTCTCCCTAACAAGGGTTCCAGAATGATTTATTGCGGAAACATAAAAGATCACGATATGTGCGAACCGAGTGGTAGGTCATGTGTAGGTTTAGGGACTTATAGCCTTAAAAAATACACAAATATGCATGCAAATATGCTTCTAAAATCATTAAAATATGCATTTATATGCATAAAAAAAAAATGACCACATAGTACACAATATAAAACGTGTTCATCGGATTTAAATATATCTTTAAATTCCAAAACAAAACTTTGTAGTCGACTACTCGTAGACTGTTGTACTTTCGGCATTATACAATGTTATAAAATATACTCGTACGACCGTTTTACGTATGATTCAACGTTACGTGGTTGCGAGACGCAAAAACAACGACGGATAATAATCGACTGAACTGAACACTAAAATTTATTATTCTATATCGACTATTATCTTTATTGACATCCTGTCGATATCCAGCGGGTTATACGGTCGATACGGGTTTATAGTATTATTCATACTTACACAAAAATTATAGCGAGATATGAAAGGTAATTTGCAAATAGAATATTACTGGAAGCATTAAGTCCTCTAGTACAATTTTTTTTTTCGATCGGTTGAAATATGTATATATAGTTATATGTATCTATAGTTTTTAATTTTAAATTTTAAAAATTTGTCAAAATATGCAAAATAAGCATAAAAATTTTAAAATATGCACTCTCCTGCAAAATTTATCAATTATGCAAAAATATGCGCATTCAAATTTTAGATCTGATATCATGGCACCGAGAAACGAACTTATTTCGCACTCGGCTATATTTAACAATAATTAAAAAAAGTATGCAAATGCTAGAAATCCCTAAGCCTAGTCATGTGATTTCTAAAAATATTTGCAAACCTCAGCCTAATTTTGGCATTGATTCGTTACTAAGTTATTTACAAGTTATACCGGCAGAATAAATAGTTATTGTTTTTATATATATATATTTTTTTTAATATTCGAAATTTATTCTGAGCACAGGGAGATGCGTGGGTGGAACAAAATGCTCGTTTTCGTAACACGAATCCACACAAATTGCGTTTAATATGCGCCTATAAATACTACACCGTCATTACTGCATTGGTTACGTGAATCACACGGTTTCCACTTTTCCACCACGATGTCAATGAAATGTGTTTTGTTAATAACATGCACAAGTTTCTGCACATCTCTGGTGATCAATGCGAATGGATATCAATGAGTGGATGGATTTTATTCGAATGTATGCGGCGTGTAATGAAAAATGAAAACTTCGAATGCGTTAGAAGACTGATGAAACGCAAAGAATACCATATATATATCTTCGGAGTGTGAATCTATAAACGTGATTAGAAGATGAAAAAGTATTATGTTTATATATTTTATTTATCGCCAGGAGGATATGGCGTCGCTCGCAAAAGTTTTACAAAGGGACAGAAATATTATGCTCCGATAAAATAAGTCAGGGATGGCACGTCTCACATATCATATGCCTGTCACCCCGTTGGACTTGTTAATACGGGTCTGAGTCGGGTGTGGTGTAGGATGACACGACTGCTTTCAGTGGCACGCGTTCGATAAAAATTAATAATTTTTTAAAAATATTTCGAGTTCTACCTATGCTTGTTTAATAAACAATGTTTATTTATGAAAACATGTTCATTTTAAAATAAAAATATGTATAGAAATATAGATAAAAAGAAAAAATATTGTCCAGCTTACGACAAAATGAAGATAAGATTTTCGGTTTTAAATCAAATTAGTTTTATATAAATAAACATAACTGAACACGTCTCAAAAAAGTTTTTACACCCTCCCCAAAACTTTTGGGTAAAATAACTTTTGAATGTATACAGAATAAATGCTAAGTAATTTGAAACATGTATTCTGGATAAAATAGTTACTATTATACCTACAATATATTTTATAAATTTCGAATATTTATCATGTATTTAAAGCGCCTAAATGGAAATATTTGTTGTAATAATTTTTGAGTATTAAATCTATAAATTAACCATTTTTGTAAATTTTGTGTAAATTTTTATTCTGCATTTACTATCTTAAATGAACATAAATATTAAAATACAAGGTCGTGTAAAAAACCGTTTTTTAAATAATTTTCAACTGTAAACAAACACAGAAATAGTTTATTATTTGATGATGGGAACATTATAAGAATTAAAATAAGAATTTTATCGGTTGAAAAATTTTGAAAATAAATATATTCTGAATTGTATGCATCTAAGTTAGAATATCTAAAGATGACTCTGAAAAATATATGAAACGGTTTTAAAATTTCCAAGTTTTTGAGTCACTTGATGATTTAGTATAACCTTACCAAGGTTATACTATTCATGCTTTCCGATCAGTGGTCACTATTAGTATATTATAATTGTGTGTAATCAGGGGTAGAATCTTAAGCGTTTATATGAGGTAATATTGCAAAATAAACTAGGATTTAATCGCTTACTTGAAAAGGTATTGAAAACAGTCCAATTACGATATCGGCAAGAGCCAAATTCGCTATGTACAGGTTGGTGACGTTGCGCATCCGTCGGCTTGACGTCACTATCCATATGACTAAAGCGTTGCCAACCACAGCCATAACGGAAATCGTTCCGTAGAACATCGACAGAAGAACAATAATGCTGATGGGTACATCGTACAAAATTGTAGCTGAAAAATTTATAAACATTACAGTTAATAATATTCAAACCGACATGGATTGTTAGGTCGATTTGAATAAATTTGAATAAATATCCGCCAATAACTCTCGTTGGATACCAATGGCCATTTTTTTTTTTATTTTTTTTTTTATCAAATCTCGAATTATTGTAACGGTAACTTATTAAAAGGAATTATAGTTTGAATCGCTTTTAATAGATTATTCAATAAGAAAATTATATTACGTCTACGTATGTACACTTACTGAACAATGAAATTTAAAATACGAGTAAAAGTTTTAAGGGAAATTGTCACTTGATGACGAATATAGTTTTTGACTGAAACGCAGATTTTAGAATAAGATGACAACTATTTGAATGCAATCATTTATTTCATGCGTAATATTGTAAAGTTGTCGTTACTATATTGTTTTTGTTCGTGCGCGTTTTACATCTCTAATATTTAAATATGTATTTGCAAAAAAAAAAAAAAAAATGTTCTAAATCTTATTCGTCTGTTACTCCGTTCGAACATTCCGATCAACGAAGCTTAGATAAACAAAAAGATAATACATAAAACGGTTTTTCTTTAAGTTAACACATTCATCTTTCAAAGATTAACTGCACACGATGGTGCAGTGACTTGAGCACGCGGATAGTTCTTTTTTTTTTTTTACACGTCCCTTAGCCAAGTCTGCAATTGTTATGAATGTGTTAACTTCAAGTCGGGTGGCACGTGGTAAGCCAAAGAAATGTACGCCAATGTAAGGGTAGACACTAAGGACAATGTGTCAGTCCTTGAGATTAGGAGTTGTGTGTTCACCGCAATATCGAATAAATCCATTACTGTACACTCCGCACAACTGTTCTTAGCGACGGTTTACGTGTGTCCGCGGCGCACTGGATCGCGGGACGAATAGTGCTCTATTCGGTTTAAGGCGACGTAAACATTCGCTTGATGCATCCTTTGATTACTCGAATCACAACCAATGTAACCGCCATTTATTTATCCAACAATATCTACATATATTTGTTACACTGCTAAGTAAATTGTGTGAAAAGTTCAATAATATTATATTTTTATTTTTTACACTTCGCAATTACATAATTTTTGTTTTTCTAAAACTCGATGTATACATGTACATTTTAAATAAATAGTACATCGGTAATGATGTTCAGTAAATTATCACATGAATATTGAAATTACTCAGCACAAGTGATTTGTATAATTATTAGATATTAATTATGTTGAAAGTATGTACTTTTAAATCTGTTTACCGATCCAAGTTAGTTAATATGTAGGCGAGAAAATGATTTGATATGACCCTTTCGGAAACGAACAATTATCAATGTTCTACACATTTTCCGTTTCGGTTTTATTATAGTCATACGATGCAAAACGCACACTCCTAAGCTCTAATGTCATCGATAACTTAAACGTTATTCGTCTCCCAAAAAATATTTGTCAATAAATGTAACGGATAAGTTAATTAATCAACTGATTCTATGTACGTTAAAGTGTGCACGTTATTATAATGTTGTTCTCTACAATCATACATATTTTACCACAAGTAGGTACGCCGAAGAACGAGATCAATAGCAGTTCAACGAAAACGTCTTCGGACGAAATTCGTATGATCTAACAAATAATATTAATAAATACGATCGACGACAGTGATAACTCGACGACTTAGCGCATGTTGACGAATCGCGGCCAAATACGTAAGCCGTATAAATGACGAATTCGCGAATTCGATTAGATTACACTTGCTCCCGAAATGTGCGCATACTATTAGTAATTACTGTTATTACCTACCTATTCTCTACGCTTATCATTACTGTTAAATCATGACGATGTTAAAATAATAAATACCATGGATTACTGATTACTTTTCATCATCCACCCACCAACCTGACCCACCCATAGTTCTGGGGAATTTTCCCCGATTCATACCCGTGTGTTCGGCATCATTGCCTGGAGTGTACGGCGCACTGGTGTCTGCAGGTAAAATCTCCGTCACCGCCGTATCCCTGTAGGACGCGAAACACGTGAGAAGATATTCAACAAAACCAATGCTCGTACGACAATCGCCGGTAATGAAAAAACGGATAACGCCTCTCCTAAACCGTGACCGGGATGACATGAGCAGCGCGCGCGCGTCCAGTCGAGCTGTCGGCAAAGCTTTTAAACGAGGGTTCTTGTTTTCCTGAACTGTAATCGCTTGCGGTAATTTACACCCTTTCGGACCACGTTACCGTATTGTGATTACGTAGAGACTTCACGAGTGTAAGGTATATTATTTCAATGGGCAATATCCGTAAACGTGTGGTTTATTATTATTATTGTTTCGGCAAAGATTTTATACGAGACGTTGTACGAAAAAAATAATAAATAAATAATTAATTTATGGAACGCTCGTCGCGTAGTTAATATTTCTACTCCGTCGTTGTTTTTGCTTTTCGAGTGTTACGAACGGGTTTCGCAGGGAAAACCAAACGCCCGAGCTATACAATTAGAATCAATCATAACATACTCATACACAAACATTGACAATTGGAACATTTGTTGATTTTTAGCGTAAATCGTTGGTGTTACGGTTTTTTTTTTTTTTAACTGTGGTCGTATATTCTGCTAAATTTCAGACTGAAAGTCAGCGTTTTACGAATTTGATTATTTTTAAATGCTTAAAAGTAGTGGGTGGCTGATAGAAATTTTCTCCTATTTAGACCACGAAGAATTCAAATGAAAAGCACATAATCAGGATTTGCGTTCAGCGATTCTGATTGGTCATCAGTTTTATCTTTTATCATATTTCATATATTGTATTTTTTTTCCTCAACTCAACTTCAACTGTTCAGTAAAACATTATTTTTACCACCGTCATCAATAAATCCCGAGCCGATTAGCGTTGTCTATATAGAAAGTTTCAAGAGACTAAACCTTTTTCAAACCGTATTATCATCATCGACGGCTACAGTATAACAAAAAACTGAAAATATTGTATTGATTTCGTGAGGAGATGTAACGACTTTATGTTATTCCAATTTATTATTTTACAAGTTAATACAAGTTAAGTATATTGTGATAAATTGAAAACCAGCCGAATAAACTAAAATAAATAAATAAATTTAGTTCATTATTCAAATAAAAAAAATATTGAAGCCGGTGAGCTCAAATGTTTCAACAAATTAATTTATTGAAAAATACACGAACTATAAACATATTATATGCAATTATATTACATACTATATTATTTAAAAAAAATCTGACAATAAATGGATGGAAATAGTATTATAAAATAATATTATATTTAATTGTTTTCAATTTAAACTAAATGTGATTCGAACGACGATGACGATTATATTTGTTTTTAGTATTACAGCAATGATTTAAATATTGATATAGCGTATAAAAATTGGGTGTATTGAGGAATAAAAAATTGAATGATTATATTTTATACTTACATTCTAAGTACAAATCGGTATGGTTCGTATAATTATTGCAACTACTTATTGAAATCGAAGAGCTATTCTTCATGTTTATATTTTCTTTCGATGACTCATTGCACGCTATGCTGTAATCAATTTCGTCCATTTTGTTTGATTGTGTGATCTGGAAATACAAGTAAAAGTTATTATTGAGAGTTTATATAAATAATAATAATGTTGAATATGTACAATGGTTTTTATTTTTTTTTATTTAGAAAATTAACAATCTATGCTACATGTACGATAAGGTAGATAATGAGATAAATTAATTTACAAACACGTAAATAACAGAGGAAGGAGGCCATCCAGTGATATATCTCTATGAACGTTTATATACGTACACTTAGTATAATTTTTTTTTTTTTTTTAGGTAGTTAATGGTTAATATTATATTATTATGTCATAAATAATATAATTATAATATAATGATATTATATTATTTAATATAAATGGTTTAGTCGATGGATCGGGTTTCCAGGAAAGTTGACGGTAGAAAGACAGATGATTGGAGGATTTGAGTGGGAATGGAGTTTTCTGTGAACGTTTGAATAATGTTTTTTTGCTAATTGATTTATTTTTTCTATATTGGGATCGTTATTTAAGGTATTGTTTGATACAACACTATGGAGTTAGGGATTTGTATATAATTATTTTTTTTTTTTAGTATATATTTTTGACTAATATAGGACGGAGCTGATGAAGACGACTGTTAAGTGTTTTACGCATAGTTTTGAGGAGTGGGCCCCAAGTCAGTCTTTTGTTATGTACTATACCTTGTAACATAACTTGAAGTCTTAATGCTTAATTAATTTTGTTAACTTTATTTCCAAATATATTAATAATTATACAATTATATAAAATATTCAAACTACAATACAACATGGATATAATAAATATTCCCTTCTCCTGATGAGGTTATACAAAGATCACAAACATAATACATAAACTGTATGATTCACAATACTGATATCAGTATACGTACGGCGAGATTTACACTAATATATCAACGTACTACTTATAGTATGCTACGTTGAATATTCGTAGCCTATGGTAGCGTTGAACTACTCGCTCGTCCACAATGATACACAGCGAAAACACAAATGTTACCAACCACGATGATATCACACACGATGTGAACAGGGACACGTCTTATCAGTTACCTCTTGGCAGCGGATGTCGAACGGGCACACTCCCTGGCGGTGGATTGTTCAAACTCGATTGGCGACGGCTCTTTGACTCTCTGCAGCTACTGCATACGACGTTGATCTTCGTTAAGTGGTTAGTGATGGTCGCAATGATGGCCACTGGAACGGCGGGGTAATAGTATCAAGATTTCCCGTACAAGACATTATGTATATACTATAGATTAGTCTGTAATCACAAGTATCAGTTATCCGATACTGGGAGGAAGCTATTGGACGATTTGAATTTTTGCCGTTTTATACTTTAATGTTCCGGGATCAATTATTAGCGTCGGTAGTATTTGCCATACATTTAGTATACAACAGTGCGGGTCGCAAATGCCGATGACCGACGCGCTATCTTCATTATCTTTTTATCATAAACAAGTTGACCGTGAGAGTTTATAGATTACTGGTCGCGCGCTCTATCGTTGCAGATGTGCGAGAACATGTTGTCTCGTTACAATCTATGCATTTAACTTGGTTTAACGTTGGGATAGGAGAGCTTTGAAAATAGTATAGGAATATTTTTTTAGCGTAACGTAAATGGTACAATGACCGACTTTTCTGTATTTAATTTTATTTTCCATTTTGATGCCCAAAGGTCAATTTCGTTTAGGTGATTTTGTAGTGAATTGGCAGCTATAATGGGGTCTTCGTCGGATGCTAGTATCGTTGTATGATCTGCATATGTGGCTAAAATTGTGAGATTTAAATTAGGGATATCAGAAGTAAAAATATTAAATAAGCCGTGGGAGTTATCGCTTCTTTGTGGGATAACAGCAGTTAAAGGTTAGTAGAAAGAAAGTGAGTCACCGTGTCCGACTTGAAAAGTACGATTTGCTAAAAATTAACAAATCATCAAGTAATAGGGTGCAGGTAGAAACGACTTTAATTTAAATAGAATGGCCGAGTACCAAACCCGATCGAGCGCTTGAGCCACGTCGAGTAATAGACCGGCATAATATTGTTTTTTTTGAATGAGATGGCTATAAGATCAATCAGCCTTTTTACTGGTGTTTCGAATTAATACCACCATCTATAAAAAACAATTACTAACTTAAAGAATCAAAAAACTGTTTGATTTGTCACTCAGTGATTGAAGGGTTGGGAGGACAATATATATTGATGATATTGTTACAGATTTGTTGTTGAGCTTGATTTGAATATTAGATGCTTTTATAGCTTGTTGTTGTAGATTAAGGAGTGGTTGGTGGTGTATATTAGGAGATATGATTAAACCTAAGCCGACGTGAGCGATCGTCCCATCAGAATTGTGAGCTTTTAGTAATTTGTATCCATAAAAAAATATTTAGTATTCAATATGCAGTGCATTTCTGATATTACGACTCTGTTTATTTTATTTTAAATTAGTGAATTAGGGAGTTCAGGTTCGTGTTGTTTTAAACCATTTGAGTTCCATAAAAGGATTTCGAGGGAACTAAATTTAAAAAATTAGTAATTTTATTTATGACAGTAGTCAATAATTCGATTAGAGAGTTGATTATTTGTTTAAATTCAGTTAAGAATGATGAAAGTTGATTCATTATACATTATTTGTATTATTATCAAGTAGAGTATTTTGATGTGTTACGTGTGTGAACTTAGCCCCCCAACTATAAAAAAATACTTTCCAAAATAATTGTAACCTTATTTTCTTAATTTGTAACTATTTGTAACTAAATTTTTAAAATTTTTAACCTCATATTTTTCAAGCTACGAGTACTTTATTAATGAAGGGCTAACTTTAAGCAGCCCCCCCCCCCCCAATTCAACGAAATCGTCCAAAACAAGTTGTAACTTATAAAATCCAATTTGTAACTATTTGTAATCAACTTTTTGACATTTGTAACCTCTTCAATTTTGAGTAGTTATCGATTTCCCTATGAGGAGGGCTGGCCCCCTCAATTCAATGAAATCGTTCAAAACAAACTGTAACTTATAAAACTCAATTTCTGACTATTTGTAACCAACTTTTTAGAATTTGTAACCTCATCAATTTTGAATCCCGATGGATTTCCCTAAGAAGATATCTTTATAAAAAAGTTAAAATTGTAAAATTGTAATTTATAATATCATGCAATTAAATTAATTCGCCTAGAAAATATCGTAAGTTGAAGAAAAATAATCTATATTTTATAAAAAAAAAATCTAAATTGAATAAATATGTCTTAATTTAATTTATTCCCTAACTAGAATTTTACTTTTATTTTTATTCGATTAGGCTAAAATCTTAAATAAAATATGTTTTATAACATATTCAATTTATGAACATATGTAATAAATTTTTAGCACTCATAACTTATAAGATAACTAACCCTTATTGAGAAATTTACGATAACTCGGAAGGGCCGAGGCTACAAATTCTAAAAATTTGGTTACAAATAGTTACAAATTGAGTTCTATAAGTAACAACTTGTATAGGACGATTTCATTGAATTGGGAGTGTCAGCCTCCCCATAGGGAAATCGATAACTACTCAAAATTGAAGAGGTTACAAATTTCAAAAAGTTTTTGTTGAATTGGGTGGCTACGTGAAGTTAGCCCTTCATTGAGAAAGTACCCGTAGCTTGAAAAATATGAGGTTACAAATTCTAAAAACATGGTTACAAATAGTTACAAATTAAGAAAATAAGGTTACAATTATTTTGGAAAGTATTTTTTATAGTTGGGGGCTAACTTCACACACGTTGATGTGTTTGGTGTTGGCAATTGGTAAAACTTCAGCGTGTTTTGAAACTGTATTCAAGATTGATTTTGTGTATTTAACAGTGTATCTCACTATTTGTAATCGTAAAATTTGCGGTTTTACGATAGAAAAATAACAGAATCTAAAGTGCCGCACGTATGACTTGGATGGAACAAGGTCCAACGACTAATACATAGCACAATGGCTTTAAGTGATTTTTATTACATTTCCGCGTCGCATTTAATTTCTTCGATGTTGTAACTATGTGTATTTAAAGTACAAAAACTTTCCTTATGTTATTTGAGAATGCTTTGGAACTCTAAATCTTGAGTGGGGTCCGTATATTGTAACAACATTGATAGTTGGTGAAACACGAGTGCGTACATTTGTTGGCGAACGGTATGTGTCATTCTAAAGTAAGACCAACCAACGTCAAACGGTGGCGTTCAATTACTATTGATTAAACGCAATATTATAAATAAACAATTAGGTGAACACCTAATAATAACAATGTGACATTATTTATTCACCGTCATCCAATTACTAATATTACACGAGTTCAAATTCTTAAAATGAACTACATAGAAGTTGTAGAAACAAAAAAAAAATTGTACGTGTATTCACGAATGCTTTATTGTTATCTTAAGAGTATTGATCGTAACAAAATTTGTTTTTAAAATTTCCTTTTGTTCAGAATCAATTCCAACCGGTATCTGTAGAGCCCTAAGTACTAAACATCATTCGGACGTTTCGGTCCGAGTGCAAACATCATCGTGAACGCAGAACACATCCGTACGCTGCAGGTAAAACCCGTACGAGATAGTGTACTGTGCCGCGTGCGAATGTGACCGAGAATCATACATGCGTGGTGTCGATGTACTTAAATCTTGGTTGATTGACAATATGAACGAAAATTTGCGAAGTCGTATAATTTGTGAAAATGAAATTCCAATTGAAGCATTAAAACTCAACGTTACATAGAAATATATTCAATAAAATATTGCATAGAATATGTTTTATTTTTATACATGATTAAATAACATACATAAATTGTCAAAACATTTCACTATTTCAGGTAATTATTAACGTATACAATTAAAAGCACGATCTTTTTCACTTGCTTGGTAAAATAACATTAAAAAACATCTTATAATCGGGTAAAAAATTAACTATAATAAAATATAATCAACAAAGGGACATTTTTATTTATTTTTGATTACGTAAGAGAAATATTAAAGTTAAAGTTGTATAATA